CTACTACACACTACACACACACCCACCCCCCCACCCCACCACACACACACACACACACACACACCACACACCGTGTATACATATAATGTGCTGTTCTTTTCATGATTCAAAATTACTTGGATCCGAGAGGGATCAGGAATAGACGCAGAATAGATTGTTTGAATCGCCAATTGTGGTAAGACCACGTGATTTTTATTTCGCTGTGTTATATTTACGTACAATTGTATATCGTATCAACATAATCATACGAGAAGGCGTAAAAGAAGTGAAGATGTAAGACGGAGGTGACGACGAGCACCCAGGAGATTCGTGCGCTCGAAACAAGGTAAAATCTGACACGAACCCCACATCGAGATTCGAGAAGGGTGTCGAAGATCACTCTTGCCGTGACCCCCTCTTGAAATACATCACGTGTTTTCGCGTCCTGCCATCGTTCTTAGTTAACTTAATCCTTGCCAACTTAATCCTAATCTGACTCCGCGAGAAACTTGAATCGGTCATTGACGTTGAAGACGCATTGTGGTCGAGTCGCTTACATCACACGATCTGGCGACGCAAAACGTGATCGTGACAAACAAAAAGTGCATAACTCCCAGGGCTTTGTCTTTGTATGATGTTCTTCATGTTGTAGACGGCGCATGGGAAGTCGCGACGAAGGAGCTGACTTGAGCTAACCTGTCAAGTCCTTTTCGGGCCGTCGAGTGATTTGGACGTCCTTTGTCCTCACATAAATTTTGTATTGCGTCATCATGCTTTTTCTTCGATTTTTGTTCACACATTTGTCGTCGTTCTCTCAATTATATTTTTCGAATTGAATCGTGACTTGTTTTGGCGCCGTAAGGCAGCTTCGACCAAGAATAAGAAGAAGAAGAAGAAGAAGCGACGAAGAGACTATCTTGAGCTAACCTGTACATCGAGCAAGTGTCATATAACCCGTGGAAGGTTGAAGGCACATAACTGGAATAAATTCCACCTCTCCATCCGGAGGGAAACCAAAAAAAAGCTTGAACAAGTGAGTTAATGGAAACTATTGCTTTTGTTTTCCATATGTTTTTCTAGCCCTGCTCATTGTTCTTTCTTTTGATTTTTATAATATAATTTGTATAATACAATTTTTTGATTTGTATAATACAATTTTTATAATACATTTTTATATTTTCTCTTCTGTTTTTGTAGTATTTAGTTTGAAAGGGATGTTTTAGAAAGCTTCTGCTTGTAACTTTATAACTTTACATCAATATGCAAGATATAACATATAACTCGTCAGCAATGAATTGATCCTTTGATGAGTTTCGAATCAACTTTCTTAAACATGTCGAAATATCAATAATCTTTGGATCAAAAAAATTAACAATACGATTTCCAAACCTTTCTAGACATTCCCAATGAAATGGATGTTTATTTTTAAGATGATTTCCAGCGCAAGCTTCGTTTGCTTACAAAATAATCACAACTTTGCATGCCAATTTGTACACAATCCTTATTACATACAAAGCAGCTATCTACAAAAGTTATGATATATATGTTATTTTGTACAATTATAACTTTTCTTTATTACTTTACTAAATTTTATACTTTACTAAATTAAAACTTAAAGCTTATTCTGTTTAAGATTTGGTTCTCTTGCGGCACGATATGGTTGTATGATGTTACAGGTAAGAAATGACATGTAAAAAGTTGTTTCTTGCATCATATAATTTTATCTTGTACTTTTACCTTAAAAACATGATATTTTCGTATTCTTAAAACTTGTAAAAAATATCAGACAGTAAGATATCTGTCCAATAAATCGTGTAAAAGTGTAAAAAACAACTAGATCTAGTGATCTGGTAATTTCTGATAGCTAAGCAATGTATCATTATTTCAAGATTTATTTTACTTTTACATTATTTATTGGATGATATCTTTCTTTCTGATATTTTTTACAAGTTTT